CTTATGGTTATTCTTCTCTCTATTATTAGTTTCTTCAATTTTAAGATTTGTTTCGTATATACAATCTTACATTTAAAGTGGCTCTATTTACTGATGACTTAACTTATACTCGTATCTTGATAAAAAGTCTTTACTTTTTGATTGCTTATAACAAGCAGCTTTAACCTGATCTCTCTTCAGTAACAGTTTGCGACTTGTCGTAGATTGTGGAACTTAACTCCAACAAAACTCAGTTATTTACTGCAATCAACTATTGCAATATTGTTGACATTCCTATATTGACAAATACAAACCCTCTTACTCTATGATTTGGACCTGCTTTATCTCCAAAGACTGAGTCATTCTCCCACCATCATAAAGTTGCATCACTTTCTTTTTTTGAAAAATACATTAATGGTTGCTGCTTAAAATAGCAATTATCTTAAGTTTGATCAATCAAAATTCATTCTTGCTTGGCTTACATTCAACAAAGTCAAAAACTTTTATTGAATCTGTTCCTTGATCGTATCAAATTTTTATTTATCTATTTTTTTCCTTGCAAATCAACAAAACCTTAAAACTCTCATGTTTTCCTGACTCATACAACCCACAACTTTTTAAGCCTTTAGTTAACCATTTCCTTGCTCTTTAACCTTATTCTTTGTTTTCTAGCAATTCATAATGTAATAGTGATTGCTTGCAACCTTTTTGGAGGTGAATTAGTTTAATATATATATACATATGTGTGTGTGTGTGTGTGTGTGTATATATGTGTGTATATATATATATATATATATATATATATATATATATATATATATATATATATATATATATATATATATATATATATATATATATATATATATAGGCCTCGGCGGATATAAATGAGCACGAGAGCAGAGAAAAGATCTCCTAAAACAAAATTGGGGAGCTGTGCGCGCTGCTCCTCATATAAATTGGCGCTCTTTTTAACTTTAATTTTTTTTTTGCAACAACCCTGCTTTTTAAAAAGCAATGCGGTAAAATATGCAATTAATTTTTTTATAAATGGCATTGTGTTTTTTGTTTTAATTACAGTGATAATTATACTTTCTTATGAAAAAATATACTTTTGCGAGAGCCGTAAATTGTTTCCGTGAACCAATTTAGGGGAGTGTGGGCAAGAGCGAGAGCTAAAGCTCTTGCTTCCTGCCGAGGTTTGTATATATATACAGTATCTCAAAAAATTATCAGACCAAACATTTTTTAAAATATTTTTCCTAATCAGAAGTGTTGTATTTTTGTAAATTTAGACTTTTTTGGTAAACTCAAGATTAATAAAAATAAAAGTACATGTTTTTAAATATATTTTATTTATTTTAGTGTAAAATATGAATCACATATTTTCTTTATTTTAGTGTAAAATATGAATCACAAGTTTTCAGTCTTAAAATAAAGGAACTTAAATCGTTTTTTGTTGTCAAAAAAATATTCTACCTAACACATATTTTGTTTCATAATAAATTATTAAATAACAAAACAATTATTTTAATACTTTCAGGGTGCGACAAATCAACAAACATGCGAACGTTTGTTAAAAAAAAGACAGAAAAACGAAGGTCACGTTTCCTTACTTTTACTTAAGCAAACTTTGGCGCTCGCTTAAATTTTTTAAAAACGAACGCATATCTTCAGCAATTTTTCATTTCCAAATAATTATGCAATTGATAGTTTTTTATTTATTATAAAAAAAAAACATAATTAATATAAAAAAAATAAGTTACTAAAATTTAAAACGCAGTTTCAATGACATTAAAAGAAACCGCCCTAATACTTTCTTCAATAGCGTTTCTTTTAAGTATGCAACTGTAGAAAAAATTATATTTAGCATGGTTTTTACATGCGTTTACAAAATAATGGCAAGTTTAACTTAAAATGAATGCATTTGCAATTACATTAAACGAAACCATGCTAAAACATTCTTTTTCCAAAGGAGTGCTTTTTTTAAATTTTCTTATTATCATTAAATTAATGTTTATTTGCTGTTTTTAATGTTTTAAAAAAAATTTGCAGAAATATATAAAATTTAATAGATTTTATAGAACTATTATGTTGATTATAGTTTTCATTTTTTACTGTGCGTTTAACAACAACCAATAATATAATATTTTTTTATTAAATACTTAATATTATAAATATAGCATATCAGGTATTTGATAGTAACTTATTAAATTATAAATTTAATAACTTATTAAATGCTTAATACTATATTATTATTTTTAAATATTTAAAAAAGAAAAATGTCAAAATAACTTTTATTTTATTTTTATATAGTTCCCTTTTATTTAAATTTTATTAAGTTTATATCTTTTTTTTAAATTTAACAAACTAAATTGAGAAAAATTCACTATTTTGTATTAATAGATAACAGTTTACAGTGAAAAGTTTATTGCATATTAGTTATCATTAATTTGCGCACACTTTGCAAATGTGTGAAAAATTGTTTTAAATTAATAAAAATTGATAAAATTCGATAAGTATCTTTGATATATCTAATTATTATATATCTTATTAACTAGAATAAAATTAATTTGAAAATAAAACTCCCTTATAATTAAAATTTATTTAAATTGTGTGGAGGGGGAGAGGGGGGGATATTTAACATACCTCTTGAATTAGACGTTCGTCAATAAATAAAGCAACAAATGTCAACGTTTATTTAAAAAAAAAAAACGATTTTTTGCGCCCTGACTTTGTAGGGCCTCCCTTTGCTTGGATTACAGCTTTTAGACGTCTAGGATCTGATTTGAGTAAAGATTTTGTTTCTTCTGGTTGAATCGTTTCCAAGGTTTCTTCAATTGCCACTTTGAGGTTATCTTTTTTGGAAAATGACCGATCTCCAATATTTCTGTCTAAAATTTCCCACAAATGTTTAATGGGATTAAGGTCTGGTGATCGTGCGAGCCATTCCAAGACCTCAACATTATTTTCAGCAAACCACTCCTTGGTTTTAGTGACACTATGCTTGGGATCATTATCTTGCTGAAATGTAAAATCAGGTCCTAGCGGAAGTTTTCAACCAGATGACTTCAAATTTTGTTTCAATATGTTTCTGTATTGCACCTAATCCATTATAATATCAATAAATTAGATTTTTCTGACACCCTTCCAAGCCATTGAACCCTATACCATCAAGTTACTGTCACCATACTTGATAGTTGCTCTCAGGCTGCTTAATTTGTAGGCTACTCCGGCTTTTCTCCAAACTTTTTGGGCTCTATCAGATGACTTTAAGTTGAATTTCAATTTGTCGCTCCACATGATCTTTTTCCAGAAACTGAACGATATGTTTTTGAACTTCTTAGCAAACTCTAATCTTCTTTTCATGTGTTTCTTACTCAAATATAGTTTATTACTATTTTTTTTTTGCGACCCTGCATTATGTCGGATACTGTATTATGAGGAATTCAAGTCTCTTGCTGTACCTGACGATAGGTTTTACCCTGATTAACTAGATGGACAGCTAAATTTCTCTGAGAAACAGTCCAGTGACGTTTACCTCCAACCATTTTACTTAAAAAAACATGAAACCTTTTTTTTTATACAAAACTTTTTTTTTTACTCAAAAAAAAAACAGTTTTTTGTTATGCCATTTCATTAATTGTATAAAAATTTGCTAAATTATTTCAACAAATTTCACATAAAATTAAACTTACCTAAATATCACTTGGTCTGATAATTTTTTTACAAGCCTATTTAATAATAAGTTTCTTTTAGGACAAATAACACAGGTTCCACTAAATTACATGTACCAGTAGCAAGGTGATTATGATGATCATGTCTCAACTGACTAATAATATATTTACTAGTTAGTAAACTAACAAATCCAAATAAAATTAGATAATATAAATTGCACAATAAGGTCTATATTGTTAAAATATTTATATATAATTATAAGGTTAATTATTATTAACAGGTTATTATTAATTATTATTAAGGTTATAATTATTAACAGAACTTTAGTTGAAGAAAGATCTAGGTCCTTCAGCTTTTTCAAATTTCTGCATTTTTCAAGGACACCAAGTTTTGTTATAACTTTAATATTATTTCTTTTAGAATAAAGTATATTGAAAGTAAATGAATTTTGGTATTTTTGAATAAAGTATATGAATTTTGGTATTTTTGAAGTTGAAGTGAAGTTTGCCTTCAAGTGAAGTTAGAGGTTCAACTATATTTGCAATATAAGCATAGAAATATAACTTAGTAAACATAAAAGTTATACTTCCTAGCTTTTACATTATGAAAGTTTGGATTTAGGTATGACATTCCAGAAAAAAAACTATACAAACATAACAATAATAAATTTTAACCTCTTTCATAGCAGTAAAAAGTTAAAACTAAATAATAAATAATTTATACAGCCCTCAGAATTAGGGTCAACATTCAGCAATGCTGACCTAAAAGTTTTAGAGGTTGGCAAAAAATTGCCAACCATGTTTCTATGTTTTATGGTAAGACCTTTGCATCAAATTTTTTTTGCCGACCTGATGCCAACCTCTAAAAAATGATTGCCGACCTCATTTTTCCTAATTCCAAGGGTTGTATATATTATAAATTATAAATCAATTATATAGTACATTCATAGCAATATCACAAATTGTGATGCATCAAAGGAAATTATAAACATGTTTAAAGATTATAAACATATTTATTTATTTAAGAAAAAAAAACTATACAAACATAATAATAAATTTTAACCACTTTCATAGCAGTAAAAAGTTAAAACTACATAATAAATAATTTATACAGCCTTACAGCATTTTATAAAGTCTAACAGCATTTAAAATTTAAATTTATTTAAGTAAAATAAATTTAAATTTTAAATGCTGTAAGACTTTAAGATGGAAAGGATTACTAAAGTAAAAGACCTGATTATTTTATAGATAATAGTTTTTAATGAAAAACAATATTTATACAAGTATCACGGAATAACTATTTAATTTTAATAAAATGAAAACAAGAATTCAAAAAAATCTTACTTTTTCAGTTTTTAGAAACTTTACATTTTGCTCTAACTCTCGCAACTGGTCAAGAGTTGGACAACCAATAAAAACAAGTTCATGTTGTGGCATCATAAGGCGCTCACATAGCAGTTGTTCATCATTACGAATTCGTTTTAAAGATTTTAATCTATCATGTTTTTCCTATTCAAAAATAAATACATATTTTTTTAAAACTTGCTTGAATAGAACACTAACCAAACAAATTTAAAAATATATATATTTACCTCCCTAAGACTTTGGAGGCCACTAAAGTCAAAAAGATTACACATTTTTTTAAAAACAATTGTTTACAATATCAAAATCAGCTTTTTGATATTGCCACAACAAATTTAATGTTATTGTATAAAAAGCAAACATCAAACTCTTGATTTATTGATGTAAGAGAAAGTTACAAAAACAAGTTGTGGTGTTTTTAACTTTAAAATATTTCATAAAAAGGGTTATAAATGCATGTCTGACAATACATTGAAATAGCCTGCTGCTGGGCTACCGTGACATACATCAACCATCTTACAGTCTGCTGTCGCAGACGAGTGCCACTACATCGACTGATAATTTGGGATAGGGCAGCACCCTATTCTTTAATTAATCTCCTTTTTCTAAAATCCACACACACACTTTTTTCTTTTAGAAAAAAAGTGTGTGCGTGTGTGTGTGTGTGGGGGGGGGGGGGTTAAACTTGAAGTTGTAAATTTATAGGTTGAAGGTGTAATGGGTCTTATATATATAAATTTAGGCATAATCAAGAAAGCTGTTTCCACATAGAAACGCAAAATGCCAAAACTCCAAAGCAGCATGTAAAATTCTATCATAAATTTTTCAGTTCAAAAAAATCCAGAAAATTGGACTGGCCTTCTCAAAGCCCAGATTCATCTTATATAGAATTTATTTGGGAACATCTTGATTGTCAAGTGAGGGGAGAAAAACTGACTAATAAAAGTTATTTATTCAAGATGCTTTGAGATTAAGCTGCATTAAAATCTAGAGGCTATCCAACAAAATACTTATATGCTGTGATGAAAAAAATAAAAGAATTATAAAAATCTCTTTTTCGAGTTTTTTCGTTTGTTAATTAACTCATGCACTATTATAAATTTTTAATTTCTTCCTTTCTCTACAATTTATCATTTTTTTGAGTTAATTATACTATGGAGACATATAAGAGAAATAATTAGTGAAAAATTGATTTATTTTTAGTAAAAAGGCATAAAGTTATGAAACAAAATAAAAAACTTTTTTGCAGTTTATAATCTTTTGCACACTGCTGTGAATATATATATATATATATATACATATATATATATATATATATATATATATATATATATATATATATATATATATATATATATATATATATATATATATATATATATATATATATATATATATATATATATATATATATATATATAGACACACACACACACACACACACACACACACACACACACACACACGCACACACACATACACACACGCACACACACACACACACACTAATATCTTTGCGTACTTTGCGTACCTAAAATATCATTGATGTCATACTGAAATGAGTTTAGTTGTGGGCAAGGTTCTTTTTCCGAAAAAAACTGTTCAGAAGTCAACATTTTAAAACTTTAAGTATGCAAAATATATTATGACAGTGCTTATCTAAATACGTAAGTATAACAACATATATATAAATTATTTGTGAAATAATTTACACAATAATAAACTAATAATTAAATATATTTATTTTTTCATTTGGTTGTAAATCTTTTTAAGATCAAATATTTTGTTAAACTAACATAACATCTGATACGAAAAAGATGTCAGACAAAACTCAGTCACCTTTTTTAAACTAAATATGAACATGCACATCACATGACTTTTTTTTTTCACACACTTTTTAAAAAAAAAGCTTAAAGAAACATACAAATACTTACACATTAATAATGAAAAACTATTTCATAGTTTTAAAATAAAACCTACCTTGTTGAGAGTATCAACTTCTCCCCTTAGTCTATTTTCTAGCTGGAGAAGGCTCAAATTAGCTGGAATCTGAAAAGAACAATATATTTACATCACACATAAATTTTCATCAACTATTTTTTTTAAATAAACATCTTATGAACAAAATTTAACTTATTAATTCATATGATTTTTTTAATGAAAAAAGGCACAAACTAATTATGTTTATGTAAATTTTTCATCAAGTAGAAAAACCAGTTAAAAAATATACAAAAATATAACTGAGCAAATACAAACTTGTTTTGGTGGAATAGCAAGGTCTTTGCATAGTTGGTCAAGCTCCTCTTGATATTCTTTAACTTTCAGCTGCATTTTTGATTTTAACTGCTCCTCTTCAGCTACCATTTCATTTAAAAGCTCTAGCAAAAATATTGGTTAATAACAACACCCATTATAATTATTACTATTTTTTTTGTTCAAAAAAAAAAAAACTTTTTATGGCTTAAATTTCTTACGTTGAAGATGATCTAAAACAGTCTTATTTCTGTTATCCTTTTGTTCCTCACTAATTCCAATAGATTCCCAAATATCTTCAAGATTTGTCACTGATTCAAGTAGACTAAACTTCATATTATCAAAAATACTTGTGATTCGTCTATTTTTTTCTGTGCTAAAATAAAATTATAAGAAAATTATTAGATTGCAACAGAATTTTTTTTTTTTTTTTTTTTTGAGATTGAATCATGCAAACAAATACAAAAAACAATAGAATATTGACTCTATGCTATCATTAAAAATTTTTTAAAAAAGATTTAAAATGTTGCTAAAAGTCTAGCATTTAATCTCTAGTTCATGGATCTTTTTACTTCTACCTAGAATAGGGCAGAGTTATTTGGAAAGAAAATTTCCTCTAACTTGACTCCTGAATTTAATGGCCATATTTTTCTTGTCATTCCAGTTAAACAGATTAACCCATTGTTAAACATCCAAATCACTCTGGCTTCCAATGCTAAAGTTAATTCAGACATGATTTCCATCATAGTCTTCAAAAAGTGTTCTTCAGAACTCTTTTCAATTTTTGTTAAACTATTAAAAAGTGCGAAATAAGTGTTTCCAGTTTTTAAAAAAACTCTAGAAAACACTTTGACCTCTAACTATACTATGATTAGTCTTCACTTTGTTATTAATTTCTTTTTTTTTGAGATTATTAAATCAATTCTGCCTAACTGCAATATTAAAGTTATTCTTTAATACTGCAGTTTGAAAGAATTGACAGAAGGCCTACACTCTTCTTCATTTTAAGTAACTTTAAGGGTACCAGAAGATTCTATCTTCGCTCCTGTATTGTAACTTACCTACAATAATAATTGTCATGAGAATTTTACATCTAAAGTGGCTCTATTTGCTAACGACTCAACTTTATACTTTTTTCTTGACAAAAACTCTTCACTTTTTGATTGCTTAGAACAAGCAGCTGATTTTCTGATCTCTCTCCTGTCTGGACTTAAAATCCACAATTTTCGTTAGACAACAAAACTCATTAATTTATTGAAAAAAATATTGCAATATTGTCCTATATTGACGAATAACAACCCTTTACTTATTCTTAGACAAATTCTAAAAACACATTGTAAATGTAATTAGACCTGCTTTTTTTTTTTCCTTTCACATTAAAAAAACCTTATAACTCTTACCCTTACTATAACTCTTACTCTTAACTTATACAACCTACAACTTTTTAAGTTTTCAGTTAACTATTTCCTAATTTTTTAAACCTATCCACTATTTTAAAATAACTCATAACTTAATAGTGGTTGTTTGCAACCTTGTTGGAAGTAAATTGGAGTTTAAAAATATAAAAATATATGCCAGTATTTAATAAATAGTAAATTTAAGTATAAAATTATAATATATAAAGTATTATAAACTTTTTTTTTAGCCCTGGCTAACAACCCTTGCTAAATTTTAAAATTTTGCCTTGGCCGCATTTGAAAAAAGTCTGATTTTTAGCTGGGGCCCCGGTCACTTACTTCCCAATAGGGTGACTTTTTTTCTACTTACTACAGCTTTATCCTTGCATCTGAGAAAACAGAAGCATCATACAAGATTTAACTTGTCTTAAGCTCTCTTGTAACAGCTTATTTTGCTCAATAAAAATGGAGACTCTTGTCTTATCTTGCTGGCATTCTTCATTGAATTGGTGCCAGTCAAATGAAAGATTTGTGCCAGGTTTCATTTGCAACCTTAATAACATTATTATCACTTTCAGGATCTGTTTCAGATTTACTCACATCAGCAGTATTAAAACTCACTATCAAAGATGCTAGTATTGCCAGTATCAGATACCCTAAGATACTTCTCAGCTCTTAAAACACACACATATAAAATGCATAACGAGCTCTAATAAAGTGTATATTTCTGCACCTTTACAATTAGTTTTTTTAAGATTCTTTTTCTGTTTAATATAGCGCAGTTTTTCTTAAAACTTTTGCTCAATACCCTCCCATAAAAAAAATTTATAAATGTCATTTCTTTGTTGTACTTGTTAAGAAAAATATATTAGTAGTAATAACAGGGCGCACATATGTCCTGATTTTATGCATGAGGGCACAATGGAAGTTCAAGTTTTAAGTAATTTAGCACACTACTTTTCTATATCAGGGCACCCTGTATAAGGGAGAGAAAAAATCTACTAAATCCCTTTTTTTGTGTGATAAAAACTCTTCTCTTAGTTCAAAATCATAGAGAAACAAACTTTTAAGAGTCAACACACAACTATAAAAAACAGCAACTTATTATGTTTAACCTCATTTTCTTCACAGAGTTTTGCAAAATGTTTACAAGTGGCACTAGAATCCACATTGTAACAATATGAAATGACTTTTTTCAAAAACTGCATGCAGCTTGCAGCTAACAATGGTCTATGAAGATAGCAATGTACAGATATTCAGTCTGGATTTTTTTTTTCATGATAAAGATTTACTATCTTATATTTTTACTTACCATTTAGTTCACGCCATCAGTTGTTACAATAACAATTACTTTAATTTTTTCTTATTAAATAAATAATCGATTAAAAAGTGCAGTACAATTTTTCAAAATTTTTTATTTTTCTTACCAAGACCAAGATTTTTGAAAATTTGCTTTATCAGCAGTTCATTAAAGAAAAAAACAAATCTTTTTTAACAAGAATTATAAAAGACTAATACATTAGTAAACTTTTAATGAACTCTTATAATTATTATAAACAGAATTGATTTGCAAACTGGAGTGACTTTGGGAATAAAAAATGCATGAAAGAAAAAAAAAAAGAAAAAAAAGATTTAAAAAAACTCAAATGACAATGTCAAATTTAGAAGATAGTGATAGGGAGGGGGAAAAAGTATATTTGTTTTTTAAATTTAATTTTTTTAATTTTCATACTCAAATATAAAAGCTAGTATTTAGGCATAAATTTTACTGAACTAAATTTATTTCTCTTGCATTACTTTATTGAAAACAACATATTAAATGAATGAACTACAATTAAAATTGTAATAGCATTTTAAACCATATTTAAACCAAAGATATTACTATTAATAAAAATTATTTTTTATGGAGACATTCAAAACACCTATATTATTTATTGGTAATATTTCGAGACAAATAAAGGGTCTCATTATTAGACTATAAAACAAAATATTTTAGCAAGTGTATTGACTTCTAAAAAATTTTATAAAAGTTATTTAATGCAAACCTATTTTTAATTGTAATGTAAGTAAAAGAAACTTGTCACAGTAGATAGGAGAGGATAGTAGAGAAGAGAGAAAAAACAGAGGATAGTAGAGAAGAGAGAAAAAAGCTTAATAGAATAAAAACAAGCCACAAACCTCAAAGTCGCACGCAAGTCAGGTTCAATGCGTATTACTTTTAGATGAGTACTTCCAGTAGGTAATTGTATTATTCCTTCTTTTGGTAGTAGTTTATGAGGGCATACCAGGGTCTAAATAAAAATTATTAAAAAACATAATATCTTTTACTATTTGTGTCCCATATACCAAGAAATAAACGCACTTGATTTTTTATTATTTACAGGGCTCAAATAAAAAAGAAATAAAAAATCTATTAGCAAAATTTTTTTATAATTTTGTGACTGATGACATATCTAACATATAAACTAAACATTTTCACGAAAATATGCACAATCAGTAGTGCAATGTTGAATAGTTTATTTATGCATATTAGATTCTAGAATATTTTTTAGAACTTTGGTTTAAATATGGTTTAAAATACTATTACAAATTAAATTTAAGTTCATTCAATATGCTATTCAATTAAATAATGTGAAAAAAATAAACTTGATTTAACAAAAATATATCTTTTTTGTATTTAAAAATTTTAATTTTAGATTTTAGCTACTTGGTTATGTTATATCTCATAACAGCATGAAATCAAACCTGTAGATATTGGAACCCCTACTTCACCAGTACCACTAAATAGTATAGCACTACAAAGGATTTTTAGACTTTTTTCCTACAACAGTATATTTATCTTTAAGTAATCTGAAAATGTCTGTTATTACAGTGTTCAACATATTCAATCAGCAACTGATGAATATGTTGAACACTGATGCTTTAAATTGGAATTGAATATTTTTGTAAAAACAATCAATGAAGTATTCCCATTTGGCTTTGAAAAGATTTTGTCTACAAAAAAATTATATACTGTTGGTGTATTTTGTGCAAACAGAAAATACACCAGCCAATTTTTTTAAAAAAAGCATATTCTATTGAATTACTTCGAAGTGGAAGCATTATTTGACCAGATGCCATTTTGTCTAATGTGACCAACAGGCTTTTTCGAATATGTGCAATCAAAACTATCAAGACAAAATTAAAAACAATAAAATTTTACATTGGCGTACTGAACTTGTTTGCTACAGCAAAGATATACAGTATCAGCAAATTGCTTAATAGTTTTTTGAGTTCGGCTTTACTGAGTCAAAAGTTAATAAAGTATAAGCAATATTAAAATAATACTAGCATAACTTCATCATGCTCTTTGTCACCCAGGTGTTACTAGAATGAAATATTTTGCCTACAGGCAGAGTCTAGCATATATATGGCTAAAAAAAACCTGTAGGTGAGTTTAAATTTTATAAAGTTCCAGTAATATGGCACATTTTAAAAAAAGAATGTGGTTTTAAATTTAATATGCGATACATTTTAATTTTATATATATTAAATTTGCTTTCTTTTTAGAGCTAAATAATTAAAATTGAAGAATATGGTTTTTATGTGTTGTGTCACTGGATGCAGAGGTAACTACGATGTTACAAAGTCTGTAAAAGTTTTTTTACAATTTTTTTTTACAAAAATTTTCCTTCTGTATGACTTTGTTCATTTATTAAAATCTATTCGCAACAATTGTCTCACAGAAAAATCCCAAGAACTATGCTTTACTTACAAAGGTATTTCAAGAACTGCAAAATGGTCGGATCTTAAAAAACTTTTTCTATTTGAAAAAGATGCTATTGTGAAACTGACTAAACCTAATAAAACAGCTGTTTTTCCTAAACCAATTGAACGTCAAAATGTGTCAACTTGTTTAAGAGTATTTTGTGATGAGACTGTAGCTGCTATAAAAACTCATCCATCTATAAAAAATGTCAAAGACACCACAGTGTTTTTATCTATTCTTATAAAATTTTTTAAAATTGTCAATTTTAAAGGATTTTATAAAGATATTTGTACTAGAGATAAATATCATGCTATTTTTTCATCAAACAATGATTAACGATTGAACTTTCTTTTAAATTTGGCTGATATGGTCGAAAAAATGGCTCCTGAAAAACAAGGTCATAAACTAAAAAATTTAACCAAAGATACTTCTCATGCTTTTTCCCATACATGTTGTGGGATGGTTGAACTAGTAAAATATTTACTAACTACAAGTCATAAGTATGTTTGCCTTGGACATTTTACTAGTGACCCTATTGAGAAAGCATTTGGAAAACTTCGGTAAGGATCAGGTGGTACCTATTTTATAAATTTTCAGCAAATATTACAAAAAGTCGACATTAAAAAAACAAAACTTTGTCTAAATATTGGTATCACTGCTAATGATTTAGAAGTATCATCAAGCTATTTGTGTGACAAATGTAATTATATATTGCAAGATGATATTTTGTTTAATGTGTTTCATAATCTTTTAGTTATTGAAAGCAATTTGTCTAAAGAAATTAAAATGTCTTTGGTTTACATTGCTGGCTATGTCATATTTTTTTCAAAAATATGCCAGGTTGACATATTTTTGAAAAACTTTTTTTTTTGAATTCATTTAATAGTAATAAAAATCTTTATTTATGACTTATATATAAATCATTTTTTATTAGAAATTAAAAAAAAAGCTGTATGCTTCATAAAAAACAACTTGCCTACAGTTTTTATAAAAGCCGTATGTTTACTCGACCTGTTACTATAGTAGGCCATGCTCTAACCCTAAACCCATACCTAAACCAAACCCTAAGCTAAACCTAAACCAAACCTAGAGCCTAACCCTAAGTTTCATGGTTGGGGTTTGGTTAGGGTATGGTTTTCAACAATACTGGTTTTTTATAAGCATTTTTAACAGACTTACTAAAGGGGGGTGCTTGAAATACATGTCCGCCCAAGTTTATAAGCACAAATTTATACAACAGCTATATACACAGCTATATTTAGTTGTATACAACAGATGATAAAACTAGTTAAAAGATATGATAAATACGACAAAATAATACCTTTTTACCACAATTTTTACAAATGTCAATTCCAGTGAGAGGATTAAAAAACTCACCATCTGTAGATGTATATAACTAAAATAAATATTAATATTGAACAAACAAAACTTTTCTGCCTTTAGATGATATTTTTTAGACTGTCGTATTCGTTTGCATTTAAAAACATTCTAAAAAATCATTAAATCACTTTCATCAAAAAAAAAATTTGATGCACGCCACATATGATCACTACAATCAATTTATGGGATGATGTAAAAGTGGGCCAGGTATGGTTATGGTATTTACAATACTCAAGTAGTATTAGTATTATAAACACATGTGGCTACCACCTAAGTAATATAAATACCATAGCCACACATGGCCCACATTTATGCTACCCCATAAACCAAGTGTGTCTATCATTTAATTACATATCAATTATGTATCAAATTTTCACTGAGTTTGTATGCACTTTAAAATATAAAGATCTAGAATAGTATTAAAACTTACAGTAACTGCTTGTGTAAACTCTGACATATTTATTCAAACTTTACTGTTTTGTTTATTTCTATTATTATTTTTGCTAAAGTAATTAGGTTTGCAAATTTAAGCATATACATTTAAAATCATAATGAATAAGAATTTTGTCAAAACTTTTTTATTATTACATTTAATTATTATATTAAAAAAATCATTATTATAAAAAATTAATAACATCTAGAATATGTTAAAAACCAATAAAAGTATTCATCAATAAAGATTTGCTCCATGTTTATAAACACAAATCTTTTAAAAATAAGAGTTTACGTTTACTTATAAAAAAAAAAAAAAAAAGGAAAACTGCATCTTTGTAAAACAACAACTTAAAAATGGTACAATTTATCCATTATATGATAAATATATATATTATTACAATTGACACATGGAACACATATTTTTACAGCAGACACAACAACGCTTAGATTTTGTTTTTTTTTAGATTTATAAATGTATTTTTTGGCGCTCAAGGAATTTAACCGTCGAAAAGTCACGTGAGCAATTGTCGTTATTAAGAAAGAATTCATGCTAAAAAACATAAAACTTATTTGTCTCATCGGGACTTTTGAAAATTTTAAAATTTTAAAAAATTTTATTTTAGTTTTTTTTTTTAATTTATAAAATATACTTTTAGCGCTCACGGAATATAACTGCCACTAAGAACAAGATTTTTTTAAGAACTCGTATTATACTGCATAAATATTTTTGATTTGTTTTTGAATATTTACCTGGGTAAATATTCGAAGAAAAAACTAATAATAATAAAACAAATTTTATTTGCTTATTTTCTAAAACTTCTTTACGATCAATCAATATGAATATTGCTTTTTTGTTTTTGAAATAATAAAAATAGTCCCATTTTCTGTGACCCCCATTTAAAAAATGACATCATCAATCTTTTAGTAATTCTTAACTTATTTAGTAACGATGAAAAATTAAATGCACTAGCTTAAAAATTCGGTTTAAAATTCTGGACCTACCTGAAGAAAGTTGAAGATGAACAGTTTTTGACAGTAAAACACTTATTTACGTACATAAAATCATCTTTAATTAGAGATAACAATAGACAACTTAAATGACTTAATAAGCGGGTACTGATGTTCTTCTGGCGAATATACAATACGCTACATTGAATATTTATCTCTCTAAGAGAGACCATATTTTATTTAGTTTAGGAAGATAAGTTAAGGATTATAGTTGCTGTTTATTCTAAACTAAATGAAATTTATTTTAAATTTCATTCCATACAGCTCAAATGATCTAACCAAGTTTACATCCTTATTTTGGGAAAGCTTAAAAATCTACGTAGTCATAACTTTGGACCACTTTCTAACCTGAATTAAAATTTCAACCTATATTACAAAATCTGAATGCACTACCCAGTTAGTACATTTACGTTGGGCCAATGTATGTAAATACATCGCAAACGTCGGCTGTTTTCTCCGATGTAAATAGAACGTCGATCTAATGTTAATTTATCGCATTTATATTTAAAAAAAACCTTAATAACAGCGTGATTAAAAATAGTTTTCAAAATTACATTGGTCTATCGTATGTAAATACATTGCAAAATTGGTTGTTTTTCCAATCTAAATTCATCATTTATTCAATGTATAGAGATCAACGTTGATCCAATGTACATGGATAAACGTTGATCTATGTGCCATTACAACTTTTGCAGACTAAAAAAAAAAAAAAAGTCCTCGTTTTTAAAAATTTGCTGACTGCTATCCGACTGCTATAACGACATTTTCCGACTGACTGTCTAAATTTACCGACTAACTTGTCGAAAGGGTCTACATTTGCCGACTAACTAGTCAAAAAGGGTCAAATTTGCCGACTAAATGAACGAAAAAATCATTGATAGAGGGGTGTCACACCCCCCACCTCCCATCGCGCCGGCCTTGAGTACAAATGTACAATTTACTTATGCGTGTAAATATGTATATTTAATGTTTGTAAGTATATGCTTAAATAAAAAACAAACAAATTTAATTCCGTTAAAAGTTTAATATAACGTTGTGCAAACGTTAAATCAACTTAAAACACAACCCTTTGCCAACGTAAAATACAACGTCGAATAAACGTAAAACATTATGCAATTCGCACTTAAAATACAACGTTGAACCAACGTTGTTTTTTGATTGTTGGCGACGTCGCATTTGTAACCAAAATGATATAAAAACAACGTGGTTTTATCAACGTATGTGTGCTAGCTTAGTAAATTGTTTGTAGTTTTGGAACTATAGTATTGGTTTTATATAACAAATCCCTAACAAAAGCTCCAATATCGGAACTAAAACAAACCTCCATTATTGATTAATATTTGTCAAAAGTTTGGCAGTTGTCTTGTTACAATGCACAAAACATGTCACAAACTCCTTTAGTTCTTTTTTCTTTTCAAAAAATGAATTTTGAAAAACAAAAAACTTTTTTGAGTCTATATAAGGCTTTGGTGTGAATCTTTCGAATTTTTGAATAAACAGCTTTTTTTTTCCCGGCTATTGTGGAGCACCCATCATTACCTTGACGAAGCAGATTAATACGAAGAAGGCCAAATGTTTTGCAACTTTGAATGATCAAATATCTCAGCAACGTCCATATCTTTCACCGGTCAAAATCCAAGAAATTCCTTACAAATCATAGCGTTCTCACTAGACATAAACTGTACTCTCAGAGATAACTGTTTAGTTCCTGGTGTTTTATTGACTATAACCGAAAATACAACGATTGATGGTAGCTTTTATAATGTCTTCTTGCAGAGCATGTTGAGACAAGTTGATTAAATCATTCTGTGTTTGAATTAATTTATAGCGGGGATTTTTAGTAGCTGTATTAAATGGTTTTTTTAAATACTGTCTTCTATACTCATTATATTGTCAGACATTTTCTTTGTTACTATATTTTCCAGCTGATGCAAAGTTATTTGAGAAAATTATTCAAATCAATTTTAGAAATTAGACAAAGAACATTTTTATTTGCATCTCTTATTGTTGATACAAATTTTTTAGCATCTCCTTGAGCCCCACAATTCTACATTGAATATAATTCTAAATTAGTTCATTATCTTTTTTAGTACTTACTAACAAAGATTCATCAAGTAATGATGATCCAAGGTTGTGGCCCAAGAAAGCCACGGGGTGAAAAATGATAGGATTTGTTACAATCATCACGGTCACTTTTATAAAGTCTAACAAAAAATATTTATGATTTTTATGTATTACTGCAAAATTTATAAATTTGTTTATAAATCCTTAAAAAAAAAAATCTATTTATTTGTTGTTTTATTCTAAATTTTGACTTTATTAATCCTTTAGCTTGCGCTTGTACTAGTCTTATATTAAAATAAACGTTGCTATTTTTTTTAAATTGGGTAGATTGTAGATCTTAATATTTACAATCAAAAGTTAGTAAACCCATTGGTCTGATGTACTAAGTTCGTATTTATGTTAATACACTTTGTCTAAAATTAATTGGGAAAGACGCCTATGATGGCATGATTAACTTCAAAGCTTTATTATTCAGTATCCTGAAGACAAAGAATAAAAGTTTTGATATCGATACATTGCTTGTTAAATGTAGAACATTAATAATTCTAGGAGTTTTCATTAGTTTTATTTTTTTATTAGTTATTTTTATTTAAAAAAAAAGGCACAAGCATGCCATCATAGGCAACTACTGCTCCTATGATGGCATAGGGGAGGATGGGACTGGTTAGCATCAAGGATAACTTGACGATTTTATTTGACCTTAGAGTCTTTGCTTAGAAATGCCAGAAATTGCACGTAATCATCCCTTTGTGCTACACAGCAGCACTGTAGAATTTTGCGCATGCGCATAAATATATTGCATTTAATATGTTTTTTGAACCAAAAATTTTTTAGTGAAGTAAAAATTCCTTTTTACTTTACAAACAAATATGTTATTTTTATGAAAAAAAAAAAAGTTTTCTTAATTAGTATTGCAACACACTTAACTCGTCATTATGCCATCATAGGAAAAAGTCATCATTTTCATTTAAACAAGCTATGTCTGTCTTGTTCAAAAGATGAAATTAAAATAAGTATTCCATTAAATGCACTAAACTTAAAAATAAAACGCATGAAATTTTCATTTCTGCACAGTTAATAATAATTTGTTGATTATAAAAGCAATATTTGTGCATAAGGGACTTATTTTTACTAAAACTAATGTAATGTCAGTATAGACATGTTGGTCTAATCACTTTTTTGCCATAACCAATATTTATGAAAGTATGACCGGTATGCCATCATAGGCACTATGCCATCATAGGTGCCTTCCCTATATACTTCTTTTTTTTTTTTTTTTTAATTTCATTTAGGTGCTTTAAGAAGTCCTTACGGTCTTATCACAGAACACCGTGGATGAGCATTTAATCGGAAGTTCACGCCTCCTTCCTAACCGATGTCGCAAAACTTGTTTAGAGGTGGGGTTTGAACCACGGATCCTTTTGTTTCTGAGGCAAGTGCCTTTTCTTTTAAATTTAATTTTTTTTAACTATGCCTATATTATAGGAGTAGTATCCGACCAACAAAACTTAAAAAAAGTACTAAGTGTACAAAAACATGCATGTAGAATTATATACCGAAAAAACGAGGGAGCATATTGAACCCTTAATGAGAGACATGGAAATGTTGTTATTTTATGAAATAAGTATTTATCACCACTTAGTTTTCATAAATATATAAATAACTTCATTCCAGCTAGTTTTATTTTGTAAGTTTGAAAAAAATATTAATGAACAAATTAATTAATTTTCTTTAAATTGCCAAAGAAAATTAATAAATATACAAAATATTCCGTAGCATTTCAAGGACCAAAGATATGGAACTTTTTCCAAAAAGAAAATGCCGAAAAGATAATATGGTAAAATCATTAATCATTTGTTTCAAGCAAAAAAAAAACACATTTTCATTTCTTCGGAATAATAATTCTGGTGAATTAGTGAAGTATTTCTAACGAGTTTTTTGAATTTATTCTTAGTAGGAAGTAATTATACACTTGCTTTTTTTTAGGTATAACTTTATTTATTTTAAA